TGCAACATCAGTATGCAATAATTACCAGCTGTTTAGCCCCAATTCATAACTGTAGCATTGCTCTTCTTAATATCGAGGGTGGGGGAGACAATGTCACCTTGGAGCCCTAGATTTGTTTTTGTTGAAAACACTGAGTAAAACACGTGCGCACGCATGCACGTACCACCACCACCACACACATCATCAATCGTTTAAGATCGGGTAGAAGTTGCGGAGTTTCAAGATTGACGAAGTCACCACGGACACCTCGCTATGGACAGGACTTCACCTTCCCGTGTAAGAATAATCCGCATTAATAAGACACCAAAGCGTCAAATCTGAACCTTTAACTCCATGTACTGGGCTTGAGTGCCACTGTCTTACTAACTATCCAACCACGGGTCGTTTGTCCTAGACCCCTAGATTAGGCTATCTAAAAGGAAAGGAGGTGGTAATATTCAGAAGGCAGGGCCCGGTGTCCTTTTTGCCCTATCTCCTCCATGAATCGCTTGCTGCTCTGCACCACAGAGGCCAACAACACGGCTGTGGATTCTCTAACTTGCCATGGCCAAGGCAGAGAGCTACAGTACCTCTACCTTTCCTCATCTTTCGGCCGTTGGATTGAGAACGAACAACCCAGATCTGAAGGAACAGAGCCACAGGACAACACCTCAAACGGTAACATGAACAGAACACAAAACAGTATCCATCCTACAGTATCACAAACAGTACATATGCTACAGAACTTCGGTCGATCTAGATGGTCATCTTCTGATCCAACGGCTCTCCGGCAAAGGTAGAGCACTGTAGCTCTCTGCCTTGGCCACGGCAAGGCAGAGAATCTGCGCCCCAACAACACCAGCACACCATAAAGAGTTCATTGATTTGTACCCTGACCAAAACTTATTTTTGTTTTCTTCCTATGTGAACCATGACATTTTCCTTCCACTGGACACATGGACACCCACGCACCACTTGACCACACTGTGCCCTTGTGACTGCGTACGTCCTACTCCCTCCGTCCGGAATATACATCCTTTTTATTTATTTTGATGATAAATAATTTCGGACGGAGGGAGTAGTATGTACTCCCAGCCACGGCTGAGCAAATCTTCTCATCTCTCACCTCCGAGGCTGCCATTGCTTCCAGTTTCGTTCTTCTCTCTTCTCTCGAAAGCCATGGACAAGGTCTGGGATCTCAAGGTGCACGTCGATGGCCGTCACGCGCTTCTTCTCCACCAGGTACCCGCCATATGTACGTAAACTGCTACCTGCATGCATGCGTCGGATAAAGGGATCGATGGCTCTGACATTCTCACCGGTGCACTTTGATATGACTGAGTGATTACGCAGAGCGTCATGTGCGCCTTCTCGGGGAGGCTGAGGGCAATGGCGACGCGGGAGACGAAGGCCAAGAGCGGAGGAGGAGCAGAGGCGTCATCAATGTGCGTCGACCTTGCGGGCTTCCCTGGAGGCGGCGAGGGCTTCGACCTCGTGGCACAGTTCTGCTACAGCAATGGCCGCCTGCCGCCGCTCCGCCCCTCCGACCTCCCGCTCGTGCACTGCGCCGCCGCGTTCTTGGAGATGACCGAGGAGGTGCGCGCCGGCAACCTCCTCGCCCAGGCGGAGGCCTTCGTGGACGTCGGGCTCTGCTACTGGAGCTGGGCCGACGTGCTCGCCGCCGTCAAAAGCTGCGAGGCCTTCGCAGCCGACGTCTCCGGCCTTCGAGGGAAGCTCCTCTCAGCTCTGTTCTCGAGGATCGCCGAAGGCGCAGAGACGTCGAACAGCTCCTCGTCATCGTCGCCAGACACGGTCGACGGCTCCAGCGGGCGGCCGTCATCGGCCAAGACGCCGGAGTCGGTGAAGCGGTCATGCTTGGGCGGCGGCAGGGAGTGGTGGTTCGATGACGTGGCGTCTCTATCCCCGCCGACCGTCGAGAAGGCCATGCAACTGATCGGCTGCTACGGCGTGGACAACAAGAACCTCACACTGACGCGGTTCCTGCTGCATTACCTCCCCCGCGCCGCCGCGCTCCGCAAGGCCGATGACTCTGGAAGCCTCGTCGGACTCGCCGACACGGCCGTGCACGGCGTGGCGCACTCCGGCGGTGGGGCGGTGTTCTCCCGCAGGGGTCTCTTCTGGGTTCTGCCGATCGTATCAGCCGTGGGCCTGGGCAAGGAATGCAGGCGAAAGCTGGAGGTCCTGGTGGGGCAGATGCTAGACCAGGCCACGCTCGACGACCTCCTCGTCTCCGGCGACGGCAGCGGCGCGTACGACGTCGGCCTGGTCACGAGGCTCGTCAGGGTTTTCGTGAGCTCCGTGGGCGAGGAGGAGGCCGGCTGCTCGTCGGAGAAGATGAGGAAGGTGGGGAGGCTGATGGATAAGTACCTGGCGGAGATCTCGCCGGACCACGGGCTGAGGGTGTCCAGGTTCCTCGCCGTCGCAGAGAGCCTGCCGGACTCCGCCAGGGACTGCTACGACGGCGTGTACAGGGCAGTGGACATCTACCTCGAGGTAAGTATATACTTCTCTTCAAAATTTCAAATGTTCAACCGAATTTTGAGGAAAATTCGATTAGGAATTCAAAAATAGGCAAGGGGTGAAATTTGAAACTGATTTCTCAAAAAAAAAGAGAGTCAGATCATACGTTGTGCTATGCTCGGCTGTTACTATAGTACTGCCTACTTGATGCCAATAATAGAAAACATTATGTGTCTGACTTGTCATTTGTAATTGCGTGGCCTGTGGTGGACAGTCATTTTAAAATTTGCATCAACTTTGGTTTATGTGATATTTACCGAAACCGTATGGAAAAAGTTTGGTATTTATCGAACCGAAAACAATATAGTTGTTTCGTATAATATTAAACATTGAATCAAAAGCATATTTACCTATTCGAATTAATCATATTAAAAACACCCAGGGCTACATCCAACGACTACATTTTTCCTCTTCTGAAAAGAAGATTATATTACCTCTAGCCATTGCATCAGTGTGATGCATATAACCATCTTTATTAAGACATGTATTATTCATCACTTACAAATAAAGGGTAAACTCATGACCATGGACTTGTAGACATAAAAAAGATCTATGAGACCTTGATTTAGCAGACTCCAAAATCATTTTGGTTAGAGCAATCATAACAGTCTCTTTTGCGCCATACCTCTGTAATGAGGTCATTTCAAAGCAGTCGAATACTATGCATCATATGGGATGCTGACGATGGACAGGTGGACTTGTGTTATGGTGTATGGAAGCAAAATTTGCGACGCCTTGAGGCCCTTTTTGCACCATGCATTGTGCGCCTCAGCACGCATAGCGTCTGCACTATCTCTGTTCTCAAATAGTAGATGGCGAGCTAGAAATATTGGTGATTCTGCAAATTGTTCGGTTTACTCAGATTAAAAGTATATAAATAGATGCCAGAGTCGTAAAAGCCTATTGCCATAGTTATATTTTGCGATGGAGAGATAGTATAATGTTTGTATCTGTGTGAATGTATGCAGTCTCATGCCGAGCTGACCGTCGAGGAGTGCGCGACACTGTGCCGGTGCCTCAACTACAAGAAGCTGACTCTGGAGGCATGCAAGGACCTGACCAGGAACCGGCGGATTCCAACGGATATCTCAGTACAAGCACTGTCCTTACAACTGCAGCCCAATGCGCTCCGGCTCCCCTCGTCGTTGCCAATGTCGAGATGGGTTGTGGCAGATGGCGAGAAGAAGGAGGCGCTGAGGCTGAGCCTGCGGCGAATGCAGGGCCGGCTGGTAGAGCTGCAGTTGACATGCAAGGATACGAGAGGGAAGACGAAGGCGTCGTCTGGGATGGCGGCCAAGGGCAGCAAGTCCTTGGTCGGGAGGGGCTTGCCTTGGATGTGCTAGCTGCGGCTAGCTAATGGAGATATGGAGTAATGCTCTCTTTTCTTTGCGCGGTGAGGCAATCACGCACCATGCCTCTTTGCTCCGTCACATGATCCTTTTGTAAAGTTGTTTTGTTGCATGGTGTTTTTGGCTTCTGTTGTGTTTATTGCTGATTGTAAGTGAGGCGTACCCTTATTCTTTTTCTGCCCATAAGAGTGAGATATCATCGGTATCTCCGTGATCAACTCCTTGAACATTTTTTTATCTTTTTTTTTTTGCTGAATCGAGTGCGCATAGACCCATGTCCCAAAAATCCACACCGAATAACTATGCACTTCTAAAAAGATGACTAAGTTAAGAATTAAAAAAAAACAAGAACAAAAGATGATTAAGTCAATGCTACAAACCTGAGAGCTTAATGGTTGCTAACTCTCTTTCCCGGTCACTATCATCATCGTCACTTTTAGTAGACTTGACATCAAATGCCGGCAATGCTGACAATATTTGTATGTTTCTAGTTTTGTTCTCCTTACTCGTATACGTAGTTTGGTATTCCTGTGATCTCCATCACATATGCATGGCGAGACGATGATGATACTGTAATACCGTGTGGGCCCATAGAGTATCGCTCCAGTGTTGGAGGAGCAAATCTGAGTCTTAAACTACCGATACTAAGACACATGTTCCATGTATATCCATAAGTTACTTTTACTGTCACCCAGTTATGGAGTGGCGTTTGGTAACCCCAAAGTAATTAACCATCTGGTATGTTGCTCATACAACATTCTCATGGTCCAAGGAACTAAGTAACTGTAACGGTTTATGAAAATATTGACAACATAATGACGATGTAATATCCCAGTAATTCATAAGTTGGGTATATCAAACACCATTGTGATAGCATTGTGTTTTCATTGTTGACATCATCGTTACTACTATAACAATGCTTATGATAACGAAAACAAGATCACATCAATGCATCAACCAGTCTTAAAGGTATGACTAGGCATCATACTCATGTTTATTCTTGCATACATGCAATTGAGTTTTTATCCGAATCTCATATTTAAGAATCAATGCAATTATAGCATAAAAATATAAACTGAATTATGTTTATGAAAATATAATAATATATTTTTATTGGCTCTAGGGCATATTTCCAACACGGTATGATCTTCATCTGCGATTGGGAGAGGGAAATGATATTTGCCGACGAGGACGAGCAGATGCCTCTCGCCACTAATGACCATGGGGCCAACAGCCCCAGCGAGGGGGCCATCCCAATCTCGTTGGACAAGGAGTAGTTTGTAGTATGTAGTTTTTATATCCATTTGCATCTCATTTATCTATTAACCTATGAATTGAATCTATGCATGAATTTTGTTTGTTGCTTGTTTGCAATTCCATGTTGCATGGGTTTTAAGGGTTAAAAATGGTGGTCACGGCGGCACATGCAGACATTTTGTGGTGGGCTGGCGCTGTCTCCATGAGCATATAGGTGGCCATATTTTCCCATTGTAGGTGTAGATGCTCTTAGTACTTACTAGAATGTCATCGCGAGTTGGACGCTATATTCTTTAGTCGTGTGTTTAAGTCATTCATTTCTACTACGTTATGAAGGTCAGTCGTTCCATTTTGGTTTTATCTGTGTTTATTTGGGTTTAAGTTATGTTCCAGTGGTGTTTTCTTGTTCGTATATAGTGATGTGGCCCCTGGATATGATATTTGTTATGAGAGGAGAGTTGAGTTGTTAGAGATGCATTGTTGTGGTGTCTTTACACATTCCAGCCTTCGTGGTAGCTCATGGTCAGAGCATTTCTAGCAGACCTCGCATAACGCGTGAACCCGCATAATTCCGGCAAGTATACGGGCTTGGCCCAATTTTTTGGCCAGAACATGTTGGGGAACGTTTTCCTACGGTTTCACCAAGATCCATCTATGAGTTCATCTAAGCAACGAGTCAAGGGAGTGAGTTTGCATCTACATACCACTTGTAGATCGAGTGCGGAAGCGTTCTAGGGGATGGTGATGATGGAGTCGTACTCGCCGTGATTCAGATCACCGATGACCAAGTGCTGAACGGACAACACCTCCGCGTTCAACACACGTACGGGACGGGAGACGTCTCCTCCTTCTTAATCCAGCAAGGGGGAAGGAGAGGTTGATGATGATCCAGCAGCACGACGGCGTGGTGGTGGATGCAGCAGAACTCCAGCAGGGCTTCGCCAAGCGACTACGGGAGGAGGACGAGGTGTAGCAGGGGGAGGGAGGCGCCAAGCACAAGGGTACGGCTGCCCTCCCCCCTGCCCTCCTTTATATAGGCCCCCAGGGGGGGCGCCGGCCCTGGGAGATTGAATCTCCCAAGGGGGCGGTGGCCAAGGGGGGAGGAGTGCCCCCCAAGGCATGTGGTGCGCCCCCCCCCACCCTAGGGTTTCAACCCTAGGCGCAGGGGGTGGGCCTAGGGGGGCGCACCAGCCCACTATGGGCTGGCTCCCCTCCCACTTCAGCCCATGGGGCCCTCCGGGATGGGTGGCCCCACCCGGTGGACCCCCGGGGACCCTTCCGGTGGTCCCGGTACATTACCGGGTGACCCCGAAACTTTCCCGATGGCCGAAATACCACTTCCTATATATAATTCTTTACCTCCGGACCATTTCGAAACTCCTCGTGACGTCCGGGATCTCATCCCGGACTCCGAACAACATTCGGTATGCTGCATACTCATATTCATACAACCCTAGCGTCACCGAACCTTAAGTGTGTAGACTCTACGGGTTCGGGAGACATCTAGACATGACCGAGACGACTCTCGGGCAATAACCAACAGCGGGATCTGGATACCCATGTTGGCTCCCACATGCTCCTCGACGATTTCATCAGATGAACCACGATGTCGAGGATTAAACAACCCCGTATACAATTCCCTTTGTCAATCGGTACGTTACTTGCCCGAGACTCGATCGTCGGTATCCCAATACCTTGTTCAGTCTCGTTACCGGCAAGTCACTTTACTCGTACCGTAATGCATGATCCCGTGACCAACCACCTGGTCACTTTGAGCTCAATATGATGATGCATTACCGAGTGGGCCCAGAGATACCTCTCCGTCATACGAAGTGACAAATCCCAGTCTCGATCCGTGTCAACCCAACAGACACTTTCGGAGATACCTGTAGTGCACCTTTATAGTCACCCAGTTACGTTGTGACGTTTGATACACCCAAAGCACTCCTACGGTATCCGGGAGTTACACGATCTCATGGTCGAAGGAAGAGATACTTGACATTGGAAAAGCTCTAGCAAACGAACTACACGATCTTTGTGCTATGCTTAGGATTGAGTCTTGTCCATCACATCATTCTCCTAATGATGTGATCCCGTTATCAACAACATCCAATGTCCATAGCCAGGAAACCATGACTATCTGTTGATCACAACGAGCTAGTCAACTAGAGGCTCACTAGGGACATATTGTGGTCTGTGTATTCACACGTGTATTACGATTTCCGGATAATACAGTTATAACATGAATAAAAGACAATTATCATGAACAATGAAATATAATAATACTTTTATTATTGCCTCTAGGGCATATTTCCAACAGTCTCCCACTTGCACTAGAGTCACTAATCTAGTTACATTGTGATAAATCGAACACCCATAGAGTTCTGGTGTTGATCATGTTTTGCTCGCGAGAGAGGTTTAGTCAACGGATCTGCGACATTCAGATCCGTATGTACTTTGCAAATATCTATGTCTCCATCTTGAACATTTTCACGGATGGAGTTGAAACGACGCTTGATGTGCCTGGTCTTCTTGTGAAACCTGGGCTCCTTGGCAAGGGCAATAGCTCCAGTGTTGTCACAGAAGAGTTTGATCGGCCCCGACACATTGGGTATGACTCCTATGTCGGTGATGAACTCTTTCACCCAAATCGCTTCATGCGCTGCCTCCGAGGCTGCCATGTACTCCGCTTCACACGTAGATCCCGCCACGACGCTCTGCTTGCAGCTACACCAGCTTACTGCTCCACCATTCAACATATACACGTATCCGGTTTGTGACTTAGAGTCATCCAGATCTGAGTTGAAGCTAGCGTCGACGTAACCCTTTACGACGAGCTCTTCGTCTCCTCCATAAACGAGAAACATATCCTTTGTCCTTTTCAGGTACTTCAGGATATTCTTGACCGCTGTCCAGTGTTCCTTGCCGGGATTACTTTGGTACCTTGCTACCAAACTTACGGCAAGGTTTACATCAGGTCTGGTACACAGCATGGCATACATAATAGATCCTATGGCTGAAGCATAGGGGATGACACTCATCTCTTCTTTATCTTTTGCCGTGGGCGGGGACTAAGCCGAGCTCAATCTCACACCTTGTTACATAGGCAAGAACCCCTGATTGGACTGATCCATTTTGAACCTTTTCAAAATCTTATCAAGGTATGTGCTTTGTGAAAGACCTATGAGGCGTCTCGATCTATCTCTATAGATCTTGATGCCTAATATATAAGCAGCTTCTCCAAGGTCCTTCATTGAAAAACACTTATTCAAGTAGGCCTTAATGCTGTCCAGAAGTTCTATATCATTTCCCATCAAGAGTATGTCATCTACATATAATATGAGAAATGCTACAGAGCTCCCACTCACTTTCTTGTAAACGCAGGCTTCTCCATAAGTCTGCATAAACCCAAACGCTTTGATCATCTCATCAAAGCGAATGTTCCAACTCCGAGATGCTTGCACCAGTCCATAAATGGATCGCTGGAGCTTGCATACTTTGTTAGCGTTCTTAGGATCGACAAAACCTTCCGGTTGCATCATATACAGCTCTTCCTTAAGATGTCCGTTAAGGAATGCCGTTTTGACGTCCGTCTGCCATATCTCATAATCATAGTATGCGGCAATTGCTAAGATGATTCGGACAGACTTCAGCTTCGCTACGGGAGAGAATGTCTTGTCGTAGTCAATCCCTTGAACTTGTCGATAACCCTTAGCAACAAGCCGAGCTTTATAGAT